AGACAATTTTGATGGTTATTTAATCATCAGAATATGTTTTAGGGGTTTTAAATACATTGAATAACCTAGAAAAGCAATAAGATTAATTTTTCTGGGGGGAAATTTGACAGAAAATGCCTCAATTTGTTGAATTAAAAGCCTTTGTAATACAAATATTCACCCCTTTGGGGAAAATAGAGTCATATAAGTCATTTCTCATGGGAAATCAATGAATTTTTCTTTTCTTACAATATTTCCAAACGATTTTCACACATTTCACCATGCAATGATTTCCCCGTCAATCAATCATTTTGCTGCACAACATTTATTCTGCATGATCAACTCAATTCCAGGAGAAAATCTTGTTTGCTGTGTCTATTATTCATTACAACGCCAGCAACATGCACTCATCGATTTCCCAATGATGCTCATCATTCTTGCAAGGTTTTTCCTCAGCACCGCAATGTGTTCATGGCGTGCAATTGAAAATCTCACATGATTTTCAGCAGTATTTCACGGTTCCACAAATTTAATAGATGTATTTTTGCCAGATAACATTGACATAAGTGTGTGTTTGAGTGTGGAAAATGGAGACATCCGCAATCTATCTCAATTTATAGCGTGAAAATGAGGAGAAATTAGGTGAAGAAGTGCCATGAATTCAAGACATCCCGCCAGTGGAATTTATACAGCACAATTTGCGAAATATTGTGTTGTTCTGCGCTATTTTCCCAAATACTTATCCCAAAAGTAAACTCATGAATTTCCCTGGGAAGCGATCGTGGATATAAATTGTCAATTTCCACTCGGGGAAATTCTCAAAATATCACTGCACCGCAACTCCAAAATACTCTTTGGCTCGGATTATGGGATTTATGGGAATTATTCTCAATAGGCGAAATCATTTTGCACACAATGTCCTGAATGTCCTGTGTAAAATATAACACTGCATTGACATGAAACAGTGGTTTTTGTGACGTTTTATTCTATGTCTTTTTAATATTTCAGACTGTATTTATTACATTTGTATGTGGTTTTATTCACCTGCAAATCTGTGTGCTCATGAATTCGCGCTCTTTTCATACCTCAAAGTGAAAGCACTTGATAAATTTACATTGAGTCAACCGTCAAATTGCTTCTCTCGCTCTCCATAATATCTCAACTACAATCGTGTGTCATGCTGAGTCTGTGGAATTATTCACTGACTAATTTGGTGCTAAGTAAATATATGTAGCTTGGCGTAACAATTAAATTTTGCGCAAATATTAAATATGGAATTTGAAATTCAACATTCAACCGCGCATTGCCGTGTCGAAATGGTGGAAATTATATATTGTTTCAATGCGGTGTGGAAAAATTTCCACACACACATATATATACATATGGATATGTATATGAATTTATGGGAAAATCCCCGTCAGAGAAAATCTTGGCTCATTCAGCGCCTCTTTCGCAATGTAATAATTCAATGAAGTGCCTTTTCTTACCGTATAAGAACGCCATATTCTCTCGTGCGCCATTTTAAAGTGTTAAATATAAGTTATCCAATTTGCCTCCCTTCTCAACCACCACACCGAAAGACAGCAGCTCAGCTGGGGGGGTGGAGAAAACAACTTTTCTCAATTTGCCGAATTTATCTCCCGCATGTGAAAGTATCAAAGCCATTTTCTTCATGTAACAAAAGTTAAATTAAGTGTCTCGAGACTGAATTTACACATTTCACACTGGCAAATGCACTTTGTCACCTTTTCCACACTCCAAGATAATTCAATTCAAACCATAAACTTGGCTGATGTCGAGCACAAAAAGAGGGGCTAGAAAACTAATAAAGTGTGATGGTTGCTCGAGAGGGAAATTTTCACTCTATGGATTGTCAAGGCGAACGTGGGAAACTTCCCTGAGTTTGAAATACATATATTATCTGTCGGTAATTTTGAATGTTCCTATATAAAAGGGAATTTCCGCGTATATCACACACAAGGCGGCGCTCTTGGGCAGCATTTTTCACTGACAACCCATTTAAAGTTGCGCTGCAGCTCTTCTCCTTCGCGGCTGGAGCAGCAATTGCATTATGTGCGATATTTAATTTCGCCGGCAAGAAGAGAAAACTCGAAGAACAGAGCGGAGAAGAAAAAACACAAGTAATGTATTTGACGAAGTGCTTCTCTCACTGTTCAAGTGGGTTTTCCAGGGCGCAGGAAAAAAGAAGAGGTGAAAGTTAATTGAAACTTTCGTTTAATTAAGCACAATTTTTGTTTGAAAAGTCGCACATGACCAAAAAAACATGAATGAGAGAATATTTTCCGAATGCTTATTTGCTGTGGCTTTACGAGAGACTTAGTCTAAACCGCTTAACTGAAGTGCGAAAGAAATTTTTGTACTTCTTATTCTTCTGCTAAGATAGCTAATTAATCTTTTAACAAATATAATTAGTAAGTTAAATTTGGAGAGACACAAGCGGAATTTTATCTGTATCTCGTGGAATGAATAGTTCAAATATTTATGAATGAACTTTCTTACAAACACACTGAAAGCCAAGGGGGAGATATTATGTCTTAAATCTGTACAGAACTTCCTAACAATTTCACAGTGCGTCTGAGAAGAATCTTTAACAGTTCAGAAACTCCTAAACGTATTTGAAAGCACTTTTTAAAACTATTTCAACTGTTAAACTCATTTATAACTTTTTATCAAATTTAATCCAGATTTAGACGCTTTAAACGCTTAGATTTCAGATCATAACAACTGATTTTATTGGTTCACGGATTTACCTAGATTTGTTCATGACTAATTTGTGTCTTAATTTTCCGTTTTTGCATTGGAAAATACTTCTAAAAATTCACATCAAATTGTGAGGTTATGAATCCGTCTTAAAAAAACCCTTCTTACACTGATTTTAATCCTTTCCAACGTGGAAATTAGTAAATATAATGAATAAAATAATGTTTCTTTAAGATAATCAGCTTAAGCACAAATTTTCTGATTTTTAGGGTTATTTAAGCGTCATAATCGGTCTTAAATCAATCATATAACCTAGAAAAGCAATAAAATCGATATTTATAGGCTAAAAACAAATTAGAAAATGCCTCAATTTATTGAAATTGAAGCTTTTGCATTGTATATATTCAATTTCCGTGAAGTTGTACACCTCTTCCGACTGAAATATCTGCCCCTTGCTGACAGTGAGTCTGTGAGAACTGAAGAAAAGTCCGCAGCAAACGATTCTATCTCTGCAGAATGATTGAAATTTGAATTTACACTAAACCACGCTTCTATTCACTATTCAGTGAGTACATTCAATTGCGCGCTGCCATGAAGAGATGTGTAATAAAAGGCGGGAATAAAACTATAAAGTTGTTTAAATTTTAAAACCATTTGCTTGTGGAGAAACGACACAAAAGCTGCATGGAGCTTTACCATCTGAATTATATCTTTTATTCAGGAATCGCCTTAAATATCGAGCACAGAAGCAGAAATGAAATCACTTGTGTTGCTCCAGCAGACATTCGACGCGGAAGTGCTGTGAAATTTATATGACACAGTCTTTGGTGGAGCTTTTGTGAAATATTTCATGAACATCTTCTCCACAACTTTCCACAATATTCTCAACACTTTATTGCGCTAGAATTGTCCCTGTTTTCTCCCTTTCCCCTCTTGGAGAATTGAAGAGAATGGCGAGGGTGTTTTGTGGCAAGGGGGAGATAATATGCCTTAAATCTGTAATTATTCCAAAAATATTAATGAATCTCTTAAGTCTCTTAAGTTTTTTGGGTATTTTTCCAATCATAACCTCAAAATATCACTAAAAGATCTTCAAAAACTCCGTTTGGAAGCTTTTTAGATAACAAAATCATCTGTTATAATTTTCAAATAGACTAAGAATTGCTGATTTAGAGTCAAAATTGTCCAAAGTCTCTTTTTAAATGACAATTTTTGAGGTTATGTACAATCTTAACACAATTTGAGGAATTTTTTGGCATCAAAGGACGATTAGGACGAAAGGAAGATTACGTTGTATTAAGTTTCCATCCTATATTTGTGCAAAAAACCACTTAAAACAGCTTTTTTGTGTGTCTTTTCCGACCATAACCTCAAAATGTCACTAAGAGATCCTCAAAATTTGCAAATGATCTTAAAATTGCTTATTTACAGTCAAAATTACTCAGAAAGTTGTTCTAAATGAATATTTTTCAAGTCAGAATGATTATTTTTGAGGTTATGTTAAATTTAACCACAATTTGTAGTGTTTCTTGGCTGAAGAAATGAATATTGTCGGTTCTTTTCAAACACAGCCATTTCTCAAGTATTCCTGCTGAACTGTACACCACTTCTGACTGTATTATCTCTTCCTTGGCATGTAGTAAAACCTATGAAATATTGGATGATCCGCGATGTCCTGCTGAGGCTCAAATTGCACTTGCATCGGCGATAAGCTGTGCTGATGGAAAGTCATGGTGCGTTTGTTGCTAATTCAATGCGGATCGCTTTGGGCGGGAGTCGTTGCCGTCCAAATGCAAACTGTCAGTTTATGCAAATTGATTGTTGGTCTCCACTATAAATCTCGACACATATTCTCAACATTCGCTGCTCACGCGTATGTTCCGTCATATAAATTTGCACTTAATACTTTTCGGTTTTCAGGTCACTCAGCAGAAGCCAGTGAGACAGATTTCATGTGCAAACACCATGTTGTGGGCAGAACACTTTGCTGTAAATCAAACCAGTCCTCAGTTTGTGCCGTGCACTTCGTAAATAATGCCATTCAAGCCATACTCAATATCTAATAATACAGCATTGCTGCACATTGCTAACTATTGTGTGTGTGTGATATATAGGACAACACCTCTCGGTCCTCCTTTTCCGGTCCCCGGAAAGCTCCGCGGAGCGCCACGACGGGCCTCAGTCGCTCAAGACATTCCCATCAGTGTCCGTGGTTTAATGTTAATTGAATGAGCAAAGTTTCAAGGTAAATAGCCATTAGTGTGACTTTCTTAATTAAAGTCCAGCCAAATAGTGCAAAAAGTGCCTCTGGCTCTGTCTCTGGAAAACCGCTCTCCATACTAATGGGCTGTTTACCTTAAAATTCCCTTCAATCTCAAGCGGGGGGGACTTTGACGCGTGAAAACATCTGAGAAACACCCAAGAATAATGTGACAGTGCGGAGATGAAGTTAAATTGTGTATAAAGTGAGACTATTTCAATTCGTGACGCTGGAAGAGACAAATTGAAAATGCCAAAAATTCACTCAATTGATAGTGAAATTGAGGAGCTTTACTGGTAAGAAAGCTCTGAAATATTCCCCAAAATAATACGCTTTTCTTCTGATTTTTTTCCTCAACCTCTTCTCAATGGCTCACAAAGTTAAAAGATGTCATGTGGAGTGAAGTTTCCCCAGAGAGAGAGAGAAAGAAGAAAAAATGTAATTGGAGCAAAAGGTGTGCCAAATATCTGCAATATCGGAAGCAACAATGTTGAAGTGGAGAAGAAACTCCTTCCATGGCATTTTCTATCCAGCGGGAAAAGCGAAGCAAAAATACTTTTGCATATATTGTGGAATATAAATTGATGCCATGACTGTGCAATAGCTTTTGCGTGCAAATATGAGAATTCATCGATGGAAATTGGTGCGCGCTGTGTTGTAGTTGATATTTTTAAAAGCAATTTCCCCACACGCTGTAATATGAGTAATGACAAAATTGGTGTGTTTCTGCCATTTTCCCCCGCTTTTGCTGTCGCAATGTTACAATTTTATTCGCACCTGCGAGAGTATTTTTTTTATATATATTAATCTTCTCCACAAAGTGATTGGCTTCGCATAACCTACAGTTTTTTTCCTGCGGTTTCAATTCCACAGAATTTCCATTAACCCTCGCGGCAAGTTTTTCCGCAGCGTATATTTTTTCCATATTCATGGAATAAATTCAATTAAGAGCTAATGAAATTCTACACGGTAATTAAAACCCTCACAAACAATACACAGAGATTTATTGTGTGCAATTGAAATAGCTGGGAAAACAGTCAGTGTTTCTGAATTGCAAAATCCCTCCCCCCCCCCGATGGGGGTGTTCTTTCACTGGGTGTAATTAATTAAACAAATTCTCCTCATTGTTTAACTCCTCAACTGCGGTGCATCTGATTCGCCCAGGGAAAAATCTTCTGCACTGCAGAATGTTCACTCAGATGCTCAAGACATTCGCCGCAACGCTTGCTCATTACGTGGGGGATTCTTGAGAAGCCAAACTTTTCTCACAACACAACCCGGAGAGCAGCAATCAAGGCAGCAATGATTGCTGCTGGTAGACAATTTGAATAAATTTCCTCTAATCGTGCTCGTAAGCTCCTTATCTGCGTGTTTATGATATCTTATCGCGCCTCGATTGCGTGCCAGATAGCATTTATCTCTTATCACAGGAGGTGATTAAAATTCGCGACAAGCCCCCCGCCCCCTGCCGTCGTGACAACAGGAATTGGGGGCATGTTTGACTCACACCTCCTCTGTTATCTCGTGCAATTGTCAACTTTGCCATGCGCACATAAAATATATAGATTAAATATTGAAGTTTATTGACTCATCGCGTTTTGGGGGCTTTTATGCATAGAAGAACAATTGTGGCTTGGTCGAGGGTTGTGTCATAGGAAGTGGAGAGAAATCTACTTGCGCCAAGGCAAGACAATTCACAGCACGTGATGTACGCTTTGTTGTGACTTTTATTGAATTTAGAGTAGAAATGTTATGAATTTCACTCAAACTGTATTGAAAAGAGCTGAAGACGTGATCTGATACAAATACTATGTTCTTGAGAGTTGTAGGCTGTGAAGTCAGCTTTCCAAAGCGCTATTATTCTTTGAAATCCACTGAAAGATGGCGACGCTATGAATATTTTACCGCACAATGCATTAAAAAGACTTTTATCACAAGAAGTGGTCCAAGAAGTGATCATAAACACAACTTTGCGGCTATTTTTCAATCTTGGCATGTTCTAGAGAGTTGTAGGCTGTGAAGTTAGCTTTTCAAATTCCTACCACTTTTGACATTCGGACAAGAAGTTTGGAAGTTATGGGTAGATAAATGGTAGAAAGCAGAGCGTCCCAAATTGATGCCGCATTGAATATGTTTCGAGTCTTAGAACATCCAGTAATACACTTCCCTTGGTTTACGCATCGATTGGAGTTCACCGAAATCGTTGTACGTGTATAAAAGGATTGCAAAAGGGTCTCATTTCATGTGAAAGAAAATAATACCCATAAGACGACCCTTCTCTCCATCCCCCAGTAATTTGCCTCAAAACTGATGCGAACGAGAGGGTGAAAAAGTTGTGGGTAAAACTTGACGAGGTGAAAAAATTATTTACCTTTTCCACCCTTATTCATGTGGCAACTTCAACAATTGCACAGATCTAAATTCTGCCCGGCTTTCGTCCGCAAGAAACGAGCGCCACGAGTGAAAAGAATCCATTGAGATTCGCTCTCGAAAAGACTTAAAGCGAAGGTGGAAATTTTCAAGTTTTTGAATTCTTTCATTACAATACCTTCCATTATGCTTTGGAGGGTTGAAAGCTGCCTAATTTACATCCGACTCGAAAGGTGAAAACTTTCCTGTTCCCTCAAGTGTGTCTCGAGACAACTTGACGAGAGATGGAAGACAAAGAGAGTGCTGGAAAAAGTGACGAAAGAATTTCTCGCGTGTCTCTGTTTGTATTCGTTCAGGCAATAAAAATGCTGTTTTCTCTCTACGACAGCACAAAAAAAATCATTTTGTAGACTTTGCCGGGTTTTTTTTCGCGCTCAAATTTCACTCTCACTCCAAATCGTGCGTTTTTCCTTTGATATCCGCCTTTGTGTTATTTCAAATTCGCGAAATTCGACATTGGCAGGGCTTTTCGCCCGTAAATCTTCTGCAGCACCTCAAAATGCCACAATTAGGAAGCAATCTGAGGGACTGAGGAGCGATTTTGTAAGTTCAAACACAGTGCGTCAGAGTTAAGATAATGATAGATTGCAGAATTGGGGATAAGAGAAGCATTTCAGCTTAATAAATGTAAATATTCTAAAGTAGGGGAAGATGGGGCACCCATCAAGACACTTTATGATAAAATGAAGCTCTGCTTTCTTTCCTGTGTGCTTCTTTTACTGAAAAATCATCCCGATTCTTTGGATTTCTTTAGAATTGCGCAAAGAAATAATTTTTTTTCTAGGTTATGTAATGAATCACGAACGGTTTTAGTGAATATTTCGCATTTTAGCACATCAATTCTTATGCTGAGGTAGACAAGATCACTAATTACTGGCAGAATTAAGCATTTTCATGCGAAAAACATTGCTAAACACTGAAAATCGTGCTGAAGTCAATCATAACCTCAAAAAGAATATTATGGACTAGGAAAATATTTTTTTTAGACCACTTTCTGCACAATTTTCATTTTCACCAACCTTTTTGATTGGAAAAAATTTATTTTATAATCTAGAATGCTTCCAATTGGAGTCTTTTAAGATCCCTCAGTGATATTTTTAAGGTTATGATCGAAAGAGGCGCTCAAAAAAGCGGTTTTAGTTGGATGTTTTTAGAAATATCTCATGGAATCTTGGGAATTACTGTGGAAACAGTCTAAAAAATTGAAGTGCTGGAAGTGTTAGGAAGTGTTGTACAGATTAAGAGCATATTATTTCTCCCTTGCAATTACAGTGATAGAACAATTCTTGAGCTTTTCTGACTTAACCTCAATTCTACTCTACTCTAGATAGCGAGAAAAGTATGGAAAACAATCTTATCAACAACGATGTACAATATTGGCCCGAAACTGGGGCAGCATTGCAATTAACGCACGCAATTTTGCTTTTCCTCCAGAGGAGAAACCCAGGAATATTCACGCAATTGATGTAAGACAATTCAATTAATGTCTCCTAAATCCTTTCTCTGGATTTCAACGGAAAATATTTCCCACGAAACTCTGTTGTATACATTTGGTTGATTTGTATAAAGTGTAGCAAAAGGTAATATTTGTGGCAGAAATTTTGAAATATGCGTGTTTGTACAAAACATCTTGAATATTAATGAGTGGGTGAATTTTGAGTAACTGCCTCAAAAGTGCTATAAATATTTAATTGTATGCTAATTATTTGCTTTGACTTCAACACCCAAAGTGCAATGTTTATGATGAATTTTCTCGTGAGGCAGAAATATCTGCATATATATGTCTATTTTGGTCTGTTTGCCGTGCGGCAAAACCATATCGTGCCTGCTATTATTAGTTTTTCCCTCCGAATGGGGAAATGCCGCTCATGCCACAGTGTGGCCTGGGTCTGTTGACCTCACGGGGGTTGTGCTCAGGCAGAGAGTGTGCAGAGTGCAATAAATTTCAATTTATTGACACTGTGTGGCTGTATAAATTTTCAGAAGAGCGCAATTTTTCCCTCACGCCTGCAGTGTTTTATTGTGACACCTCGACCGCCCAGGGTGGAAATTCGGTGTGGTTGCCACACAAGTTCAGAGTGGGGAGAATAGGAAAATAAACATCTTATATTACACTTGAAAAGGCCACGGAGAGGAAAATCACGGAATATCAACACAAGTTTCTGTCCAACTTTAAGCCACACCACAATTACTATTTGTGCACTTCCGAGAATGTAAAAAAAACTTTCACTCACACACTGTGAAAATTGGTGTATTTATGTATACAATTCACTTCCGGATTGCCACTGAAATGCTCTGCTATATGTTTTTTTTAGAAGTGCTTAAGCGGAATCATATCAACAAGTAATACTTTGTTTCGCCTCTGAGAGCTGAGACAAAATTTTAAATCCCATCTGCAATTTGCATTTTGGGTAGAAACTTTCACAGCTGAGAATTGAATTTGCATGTTTTTCACCCACGACATCGAAGCAAATTTATCACTGTCACAATTTGCACTCGTATAAATTTACAATATTCAACAATACAACCAATTTTTGTCATTTGGCGCCACGCAAAGCGTTTTTTCCTTTCTTATTCCATGAATTAGAAGCGCATTGTTCTGCTTCAAGGAGGAGATATTACAGTCAGAAGTGGTGTACAGCTCAGTGGAAGTGTTGAGAAACTTCAAATATTCCTTCTATTACTGAAAAGTACATAAACAAAGCTATTCTGAACCTTTGATGTCAAGAAACACTGCAAATTGCAATAAACTCGAACATAACCTCAAAAATATGAGTTTGAAATTGGAAAATGTTTATTTAGATAACTTTCTGGGCAATTTAGACTCTGAATGAACAATTTTAAATTCTTTGGCAAATCATAAAAG